AGAGACAAGCTCAGCTGTTCACTGAAATACAATTCCTTGAACAACTTCGGCAGCTCGAGCGACAGAAGAAAAGGAAGATGAAGGTGCTGGTCAAGTTGCTAAAGTATTGGAAGCCGCTGACTCAACTTCAGCTGCGATTCAGGAGATACTTAGAGCGAAAGAAAGCAGAGCAGCTGGAATATGACGCAGCAAGGCAACTGGTTTTCCTCAGGGACGTCACTCCTAAACCAGCACCCGATTCCCAAAAAGAAGAAGTACCAGTGGAGATCAGTTCGGTTGAGTCCGAGCGACAGTCACCAGCAGCGGCGGAAGCAGGACCATCAGCTCCTTGCTCGTCATTTGAAAACATTGAAAGAAGGCTGGAGGAACTTGACTCAGCCATACTCATCCAATACCTGATGACCCAGACCTTGATAGATACTTATGCAAGGAGCTTGGCTGAAGAACTGGCCACTAGCAAGAAGGAAAATGCCACACAAGAAGCCGGGTAGGAGCACTGGAGCTGCAAGCATGGGTACAACACTGACAGAGATTTTGTAAGCACTCGTAGCTCTCACCCAACAAAATGCTATCCTCATGGAGCAACAACTTGACACAGCTAGAAGTCTCCAGCGAATGGAAGACCCAGTGCGGCAGATATCTCAAAACCTTCCCAGGGGCGAGGACCTTTGAGCGAGAAGAGAAAATGAAGAAAGGTCCTCCCTCATGTACATAAATCAGAAATGGCAAGGGCTGTATATAACACTGATCAACGAGACAACAATTTTTGGTAACAAGTGACAATTTTTCTTTATTGTATGCCTAACATAACCTGAACTATGTGTTCTTATGCGGAATGCCTGTGATATCCTGCCGAGTTAACTCTGTGATATGTTTTAGAGTAAAGTTAGATGACTTAAACACATCAGACTAAGTAATTGTCCTTCGAACTTCACAATAACTCGAACATTAGCGTTAAACTAAGTAATAACGAAAGAGACTTGTGAAAATTAGTGCCCCATTCGTTTCAAACTTTTCCATACTCAGTAGGGCAAGCGGACCTATGTTTTTCAACTGTGTTCAAAAGAAATAACTTGAAAAAAGAAGTCCTTAAATATGGTTTAAGATACAATGTGAGCGAAGCAGGGAGGACCTATCATTACAAAGGAACTGAAAAGGCCTAGGTACGTGAGAATCAAATAAGATATTGAGCAGACAAAATGTTTGTTTGAAACTTTCTCTCCAAAAAAACAAAAAAGAAAAAAAAACGATTCTCCGCACCCTTCGGCTGAAGGTTTCCTTGATCAAAAAAATATTCCCTGTTAAGCAAGCAAAGTAGACGAAACCCAGATAACTCCAATTGTGTTAAATCAATTGACAAGTTGAATACTTATGGTTCCTTCGTTCCTATTTGAGGTTTACACTGCCCCCAATCATGGCACTGGTTGTTAACAATTCTTGATTGCAGTGAACGGAATAACCTTGTGATCTTTTAATGCAGTTTGTTCGAGGACGAACAAAGGTTTAGTGTGAGGAGGTTTGATGACTCCAAATATGAGCATATTCTTAGTTTGACAAAACTGTATATTACTCGAATTTCTGTATAAAAACCATCATAATAACCCATTAATGCCATACATTATTGATCTATATCGCTTGGCATGATCCAGACTTCGTTGTTGAGATTATTAATGATTTTTGCCCTTTTCAAGCGGTAGTCTGGTTCCAGAAAAGCTAAGGCATGCGCCACAAGTGATAGCTTCCTCCGCTCGCAAGCGCCTAGAATATCTACTGAAAAAGACTAAGACACGAGAGGCAAGTGGTAGCTTCCACCACTCATAAGCGATAGCTCCTCCCGCTTGCAAGCGACAACCCAGACACCCACCGCTGCAGAGCGTCACCAGATTTCGACTAAGTGTTCCAACTGCAGCGGTTCAACCATTTCATTTTTAGGCAGCACAAGCGAGCCTAGCTGCACTGATGCCCTCCAGCTTTGGCAAACGAGGAAGATCTGAGCCTTTACAATTCAATGCAAGCGAAGCAGGCACCCTGGGAGTTATGGCCAACAACTACTCCAATAGAATAACTACTAGCAACCACCTAACTGCCCAGGGGTTGGAACTGTCCAACAACTGCTCGCAACCGTCCCAATTCACCTACTATAAATAGGGTCAGATATCTCTATATAAATATCTTGGATTTTGGGAGTACTTTTAGCAATTACTTTTTGCAGTCCAGTCGTCTTCCTATCTCCGAGAGCTCCAACCCTGTAAGGGAGTTCTCCACATGAATGGCCAAGGGAGTAGGGATTTCCCTCATCCCTTGGCCAAGTCTTTACCGTTTTCTTAGATTATAGATTACTGCTTTCAATTAGAGCTTTGTAGTTCTAGTTTTACCAGCTTTAGTAGTAATTAATGAAATATCATTCAGTTCTCCATCCTCATTTCTTCCACATTTTTCCATACTTATACAAACTTTGAATTTAAAGAACTTCATTTCACTGGTTTAGAGCATGAGAAGAATTGATTAATCTGAGCCTTGTTTTGCGCCAAAAGCGGTTTCAACGTAGTTCAATGTAGTTAAGTACGCGGGAGCCTTGTCGACCTGCTTAACTACTGTTCTGAATTCAATTTTGATTAAAAAGAGGTAACATAAGGGTAAAGCCACTAATGAGGCAGAAGTTGGGATAATTAATGGGGCATAGAGGGTGGTCTATTAGGTCACAGAAATTCCTAGTGACACTAGGGTTTCTTTCTTATAATATTCCGATTCTGGGTGTCATTGAAGTCTTGTTGTAAATCTCTTAAGGTTAAATTCCAGTGTTATGAATTCTTTACATTTCAGTTTATATAATTGCATCATCTCTTTCTAACCGTTTACGTAATATACATATATTTTCGTTAACACTCTTACACGATTCGCTCATTACATTCAGGGGAATCTATCCATTTAGTAACGCACAAGTCAGACACAACACCTCTCCTTCACTCTCTGTCGCTCACCTATATACATATATATATATCTCATGATGTGCCACCCGCTCATGTCCCGTTCACTCGGTCCCCGCTTCCGCTCATGTCCCGATCATCTTGCTACCGCTGGCACTTCACTTTACGCCTCCGCTTCGCTCGCTTCTGATCACCTCTTTTACCGCTCATTTACCGATTTCAAATAGACTAGAAGTTTTGATCCGCCGCAAGCGGATCCTTTCCTGCAATTCTCATCGCTTTTTCAAGATCTTCACCATTTAAAATTCATGACTTCAAATCCTTGTGTTCGACCTGGAAACTCATCAGTAAATAGAGTATAAATAACTGTGATAACTACCGAGGGCCTACAACCACAAAATCTACTATATCTGATAGCTTTTCTATATACATCACTCACTGATTTTCGTATATAAATTCCCTGTGGATTTATACAAATTAAAACTAACAAATTCAGGCTATCATAATTTGAAAAACCACATGTTTTTTGTCAGGGACCTCTTAAGTTGTCTAACTGGGCATGCGTGCAAATAAAACTCTTCTAAGAAGTGGTTTTCTTTTTCTCTTTTAGAGCGTATCATAGATGGACTTTAAGAGGCTTATTCCCTTCCAAGGACACCAATACTAGATTCTCACGAACGACTAGGAGTTAGCGATTATCCCCACAGCCAACAGAGTAGGGCTCCATGGGCCATTGGGAAGGAGGAATGCATTGGTCTCTGCATCCCGAAAATCGGCCATTGCTGTCAAGAGCCCTTCCTCAATCGTAAATGAGAAAATGGACATTAGAATTGCTTGGTGAATGTCCTGGGCTCGCCATTGTTGCTCAAAATGACCTGCAACTCTTTTATATCAGTCAGCGTATTCGGTGAATGTGGGAGGGAGGATTTTGATTCCATCTTGGAGGTGAAGGGCATTAAACCCAACGCCTTTATAGGCAAAATGGCAGCGGAGCCCAAACAGAGGAATAGCCTCATTCCCGGAAACCGAACGGAAGAAATGAAAGACACAATGGGTACTATACAACCTCGATGCCAAAAGGTGCAATGCGATGATAAGGACCCATCGAATGGGTGAATGAGTGTTGCCTCCTGTAAGGATGTCACTATATATTGCGCGAGAGTGTGCGGTGATTGAAAGAAGGCTTCAGTTTCAATGAAGATGTAAAAGTGTCAAAGAAGCGATGACTATTAGAGATGGTTTAAAAAACTGAATATCTTAAATTGATAGAGGAGGGAATGCATAAAGGAGAAATTGAAAAAAACAATTAAGTGCCTGACATTTGAACCGCTGGTCCGGATATGCCGGTTCATTGCAAGGGAAGAAGCACATAAAATCGGGCATCTGACAATGCACTTAGCTGCAGATATCGGCCAACGAGCAATTTTGATAGATGCATAAACCAGTATATATATTTTTTGCTGGATCGGGCATCGGTAATTTTATGTCAAATCGGACAACGGCCAATTCAATGTCAGATCGGGCATAAGACAATTCTATACAATCAGATCGACCATCGGCCAAGTCTATGCAATTAAAATGGGCATGGGTACATGGCATTATTTGGCATTATTGTAGCCAAGGAAATATTCTTTACATTTCCTCTTTTTATTACAAAATAATTTTATAAATTATATATTTTTTTATTTTTCTAAGTTTGTGCCTTAGAAAAAAAAAATTCTTTACAAAATAATATGCAATTGATATATTTTTTATTTATAATTTACTTCTAAAATTAAATTATATGGATATAAATATATATGAAAAAATTAATCGGAGGAAGGAAGGAAAATCGGAGAAAAACTTGGATCGACCAAAAGGACAAATAACATTGGAATTGAAATACTTGGACCAAGTACAAGTTAAAATCACATATCTGGACAATAAATGGAAGACTGCCCTCACAATCAGTACCACAATTTGACGGGTATAAAAGCTATTTCATGAAATAATCCGTACAACAACATATATATTAGTATTACTATATTGCCCAAGTAGTAATATAAATAATGCCATTGATTTCTTGTATATAAATCAAGACAAATATTGAGGGGGTCCTTCTAGACGAATGTAGTCATAGAGAACTCCATTGAATGGGCTCGAGCCTTTTGCTTGTCTAATATATAATGTGTTTTCTCCATCAACGAATTGGGATTCAAACAAGTCGATACTGTACAACCAATACAGCCCATGAATGCCATGCCTTGCTATTGCATTATCCATACCTATTCGTCTCGTTGAAAAATGAGGCTGCCCAGATGGATTAGGGTTGTTCATCCACACCTAATTAATAAGTTAATAAATAATTAATAAGAAAACACACACACACATATATATATTGTATTAGTCTTATAATTTGATGGAGAGATGAGCAATTGATGAACCAAAACTAGCTAGCTCTTAAAGCAGACGTTAAATAACTAAGTAACTGCTTACCTGTATTTCAGCGTAGTTTGCAGAAGCCAAAGCCAATCTGAGAGTATAATTTGCACTAGTTGTCGTTGTGACATTTGTTCTTCTTCTTGTCAAGGGAAACACAACTCTCCAGGTAGTAGATGTGTACTTGTCTTTATTGAGTTTCCTATTGAGATGAGCAAAGAACCAGTGTTTGGTGTAGTCGCTGAGGCCGACAGTGTAAATTAGATCGTGTGTGGGATACAAGTCAGTATATCTGTCCCACAATCCGTACTGTCGGAACCTGTCTTTGTGTTTGCTGGTGTAGAGCGTGTTGACGAGGTCCGGGTTAGGGTCGGGTACGTAGAATTCAGAAGCACTGCGGTCGGGGATCCCAATTTCCCAGAGCGTGGGCCCCGCCCTTGGAGGACTGTATATCAGATCACCTGCTTCGACCACCTTGCCTGCATGCCATACAATACAATACTAGTTGGAGTAGGAGTAGTAAATTAATATAATGAATTAGCGATGGGTGGACCTGCCTGGTGTGATTGTAATGTTGGCATGGTGTCTGTAATCCCCGATGAAGCCAGGAACCCATGCATACAAGTTGTATATGCCTGCTCGGACACTTGTTATATTGAACTGCCCATGCTCGTCTGTTTTCCTCCAAAATTGGTACCCCTATATACACAAGTATGTATTGTAATGACACAACACACCTTTTTCTTTTTTTTTATAATTTATTAAGCCAGTACGCACGTAGAGCAGACCAGACCAACCTTAGATTGGCGTTGCCAAGAGCCTGCATCTCCAGGGGGGGCTAAGCCTACGTAGGCGTGCTTAGCTGGCATAAGTGCGCTATTAATGTACTTGTCATTGATTAACAATTTTCCGCTCATTGCCCCGCGTTCACTCGCACCACCAAAATCACTTGACAACGGGAATTCGTATGGCCATTTCTTGCTCTCTTCCAACATCTGCATGCACAATATTAAGAATAATAATATATATATATATTTTGTTTGGGCAATGGGCAGAGAAGATAGATAGATAGAAATGAAGCAAGCTAAGTGAAGTTTAGCTACCTGTCGTTTAGCGTCCTCCCATAGTAAATTTATTGGGTTCAAAATTGAATCATGGGAGTTTAGGTAGATGAAGACTGGGCCGAATACCTTCTTCCAAAATTCCCCATTTCGTAGCCTTATCCCGAACTCTACACCAGCATAATGAGAACTGAAGAACATCTAAGAACCAACAAGTAAGTACAATTAATTAATTAATTGCAGATGAGATGAACAAGTGTTATAGCAGCATCATATTTATTAACTACCGATAAGGATGTGGGACCAACGTGCGAGGTGAGGTCCTGCTTAAGCGGACCTCCGCCTCGGAATTCATCACTTGCCGTTATCACCCAAAATCCTGCTGCGGATTTATTAGTTAAGGTTAAGGTGGCAATCCAGCCATGGACCCGGTTCTCCTTGCTCTCTAATGAGTACTGATATTTGTCGTCCACCTGTGTTACATCATTATATTATATTGGTGTTGGTCAGATTTCTATTATTCTTTACGTGTGACACACCCTCACCCTCACCCTCACCCTCACCCTGCAAGAAACAATATGCTGTATATAATATAGCTAGCTGGGATGAGATCTCCAGCATAAGAGCTCTCACCACAAAGCCAACTAAGTATATACATATTGTTTCTCGCTATGAGGGACATATTGTATATGGGTATAAAAAATGTAAGCATATACTGTTTTTTGCTGGATCAAATTTTTTATTCCAAAATCCATCTATCCTTGCAAATAAAAAAAATTAAATGACCTATCCTGGGGAGATATAAATTACTAATATAAAAAGAGATAATATATATTTAATTATACTTAAATATTTTTTTAATTCTATTCTTCCTACTTAGTCAATTTTTTTCTTTAATATTAAAAAGAAATTATTCAATTTTAATTTTATTAACTTTTAAATTTTTTTATTAATTATTTTATAATTTCTATATAAAATTTTCTTATAAGATACTGCGTTCAAAACTAAACATAAAGTAAACTCTTTAAGTATTATAAATCTACATTTAATTTTTTATACAATATTTTAAGTATTTATAGTTAATTTTAATTTTACTTTCATCTAGATAGTCATTAAATATACTCTTTGTAAATATATAAGTGCACAAACAAACATAAATGGTACATTAGTATAATAAAAATGTAAAAACAAATATAGATTGAACATAATTATTTTGAAAAAAAACAATGACTATTTCAAAACCTATTTTTAAAATTTTAGTTCATGCTTTTATCGTACTATTTTATAATTTTTTATAAAAAATTATATAATTTGACAAAATATTATATTCAAATATTATTTAAATAAAAAAATAATTTTATAATTTAAAATATTATAAAAAAAATTAAATTATGTATAATTTTAATCTTTTATTTTATGTTTTATTGTAATATTAAAAAACATTATAATATGATAAAAATAAATAAATTGGATAAAATTTGAAAATAAAAAAAGAATATTAAAATTATAGTAAAAATTTACCTATTTTTTTCTCCGGAAAAACACATGTCACTTTTTTATTACTAGCGGGAATATAAAGATTTTGAAATAAAGAATTTGATATATATATTTTTTTGTTGTTGTTTTAATTCCTCTCCCCGCACACACTCTATCCATTATGGCATATATGCATGCTTCTGTGATTTATTATTTATCCAGCCTGATATACACTATGTCCCTCGTATCAATTAGGCATGGGATCCTCAGCATCCACAACAAGAAAAAATTATTTTGTAACAAAATATTTTTGTTTTTAAATCTACTTTTTCCGATACTAATGATATTAGAGACGGAAATATGAATGAAATTACGTTAGCTACGTGAACTTTAGAGACGAAATTCCGTTACAAATATATTATTTTTTTGTAGTGATCAAGACCCACACCCAGTCCCGCCCAACCTCGTCACCAAAAGTGATATATATAATATATGAGCATATATATATTTATATATATTATACTCCCTCCGTTCTAAAATAATAGTCTTGTTTACCGTTTTCGTGTGTCTCAAAACAATAGTCTTATTTCCATAAATAACCATATCATTATAAAACTATCCCTATTTTTTAATTATTATTATACAATTGCCACTATTTTTTACACTAATATACTCACAAAGACAAAAAAGTCATTTATTATTACTTTTTACCAACTACTAATATAATATCAGTATTCCTTAAATCTCGTACCCAACACAATAAGACTATATTTTTGGGACGAAGGGATTATATAATTTATATATCACATATGCATACACATTATGTACATATATACACAATGTATTAGACGGGGCTGGGCATGCTTAATGTTTAGGATGCCACTAACCTCTTACACATTGGTGTGTGTGGAGCAGGAAAAGAGGCACAAAATCGCAAAGGACGTGGTGCATGTGGAGACTCTAGAAAACTATAGAGGATTAGTATTTTTTTTTTCTTAGGAGGAAATTTCTTATTCCTACACCAACATACAATGTGTATCTATACACAATATATATATAATATGTATAGATAGACACATATATGTGAAAGAAAGCTTAATTATGGGGATAAAGAGATGAGGGAGGTGCATGAGATCTCATCCCTCTCATCCCCACGTACACATAACCTAAACTAAAAGTAATTAATTAGCTTAGCTAAATATATATATATATATATATATATATACCTCTTGTTTGAATTTGGGTGAAGAATTTAAGCGGACAGCTTCAGCATAGTCAAGAACATGGCCCACTTTCCTGTCTTCATTGCTTGGCATCATCCGTTGTTTGTCATCTGATATAGCCATGTAATGAAACCTACCTAATTCAAAAATATATATTGATTACTATGCATGTATGAATATGTATGAATAACCTAGACATATATACAGATATATAGAGAGAGATAGTTAATAGTGGTGCATAGGGAACGTACAAGTCTTGACGAAGCTTGAAGGCGATTCTTGCTTCGTCGATATTTAGATCAGGCCAGCCTTCTAAATGCTCAAATATTGTATATGAATAGAAGCCCGAAACTCCACGGAGAACTATAAACCTGCAAGGCATATTAGGCGAAATCAACTTGATTTAATTATGAAATGATGATGATGATGATCACATCTAAGGTGATTCAAGCCAAACCTCTTGTCAATGTTGAGGGGGACGGTGTTGTGACCATATGAGACATTCCAAGTGCTTGTGAAGGAAACTTCAACTTGATCCTCACTCTCTATTACAATTTTATAACTTTTACTTTCTAACCTGATCAACACTCAATCATCATTATTAACACACATACATATTAGATTATATATATACACACATACCACGTCTTGCATGTGTTGTTCAATTGATCTATTTTTCTAATTCTAGCACATTTAGTTAGACAAATAAACATATATATATATATATATATATGGATGATCCGTCACTTACATGTCAAAATGGCTTGTGCCTACTTTGTCTAGCCTTGTCCACACCATGTCCCAATAACTACATTGTGTGTATTATAGCTAGTTAGTTATAAATATCGTGTATAATAATAGGCTTTCATGAATTTTTTGAAACAAAGAAAGAAAGAATGGTTCATGTTAAAGATTGGTTTGACCAAACTTGGGAGATTAATTAAAATACTAAGTAACATGTACATATATACACGGTAGTTATTTTACAATATTTTAATGAGTAAATTGCATAAAACTCTTTATGTTATATTCAAGTAAGTACAAAACACCATTTTATACAAATATTGATGTTGTTTGTAAATATATGGAATATCTTAAATATCATTATTTGTATAAAATAGATAAAAAAAAAATTCAATAATATTTAATTTTTATCATTTATAAAAAAAAAGGACAGTCATAACTTAATTTTTATAGAATGTTAAATAAAGAGTTGATCAATTTTTTTTCTTTATTTACTTTATTCAAAGAATGAGATTTAAAATATTTTACCTAATTTATAAGAATAACAGGTGCATAATTAGACACTTATTAATGAACACTGCCAAGGTTTGGATGGAGAAATTATTTCGTGCTTATTTTAATATAACATAATGATATTTCACTCAATCAATAAAATACGGAGTATTTTATATATTATTATTCAATTTATCCTATTTTAATAGTTGAAAGTATATATTATTAGCACGTCCTACCAATTGGAAAGAGAGAGGGGAAAGAGTGTTTGGTGACTCACTCACCCTCTTCTATTTTGATGATATCTTTTTTCCAGCACATTATCGATGATTCCTTTGTATTCTATAGCAGCGATAAGTCCGCCCGGCCTTGTCAATATTAGTTTAACTATTCCGTTGTCGATGTCCACCTACAACGCATACATACATATATATATATTATTCTAATGATCAAACTCCCATTCATCATATATATGAGGAATAGCTAATACTTACAAAACTATTTAATTAATTTGTATAATTAGTGTCTCGAGCTAGCATAAGTAATAATAGTTAAATAATAATAATAATAGTGTCTTACATTTTTCTGAGATACATAGAGCTTGACTGGAAATGATACATGCCCTTGCCCAGCTTGATATTTGCTGCAAATCCATTATATGACTTTATTATATTCATAATATAGATTATTCAATGTTAAAAGTCAATGTTATTTATTGACTATTAATATAATTTAGAAAGTGAAAGATTAAATAAAAGTTTAAAATTGAGGAAACTACAACATAATTATTTTTGTTAAATTCGGTTAGAAAAGACAAATTGGAGACTTTTCAATTTCGGCAAATGTAGCCAATGCAACAGCATTGTCAGGTTCTGACATTGATAACAAAAAGACAGTATGTGCAGCACAAAATATTGACTGTGGAAGGTTCTTGCAAAGGTAACAAATGAAGGAAAATTAATGTAAAGAAGCAAATGTGGTTTGTCTCATGTGTTAGAATGTACGAATGCATTTATGGCCTCAACTATTCAGCCATAAAAAAAAAAAAAAAACACACACACACACACACAAAAATCAGCATTGGTCAAGGTGTGCAGAGTGTATGATTTGAACATAGAGATAAAGTGAGAAACAAGTTGAGTTTTTCTCTCAATTTTTCATCATCTAATACTCCACCATTTGAAGACGAATGAAGTGCTTTCATGGCTTTGCAAAGCTATCAAGGAGAAAAATGAGTTCTATCTAAACCAAACGACCAACCTATAAGCTAGACAATTTGTCTACTAGTATCGTTATGATTGTATAACAACCGGTCTGTCTATGTTTGTAAAACAAGGGGAGTTTATTTAGAAGATAGACTATGATGTTTTGTTGGAGTATCTTGAGTGTGTGAACCTAGTGCTAGGTTTAGTAAAAATACTCCTAAATCGGAATCTCCTAAATGTAGGTATTTACACTGAATTGGGTCAAAAAAATTTGTCTGTTGTTTATTTATGTCATTGCACTTATCTAGCCATAGATTATTGCTTGTTTAACACAATTATGCTATAACCAAACGACAACCATGTTTTAAAGTTGTGTTTACCTCGTAAGGTTTTATGGTTCTGTTGTGCATTAGACTCGGAGGAGCAGGACCTCATTTATATCAATGACCTTTTTAACATGAGTTTTAAAGCAACTTTATCCATCTGTCCACCTATTTTCGATGGAAAAAACTATAGCTACTTAGAAAAATGAATGAAAGTTTATTTTGACATTTGGTTATGAGACATGCGAAACTGTAGAGCTTGTTTGGACTACCAACCAAAGTAATATCTAGAGAAACTTGGAATCATCCTCCCACCATTGTCCTTAAATAGAAAAATGAATGGACTGTCGAAGAAAAAGTAACTGTTGTTGGAAATCCAGAGGCCGTGAATGCGATCTTTGCTTTGGTTGATGAAGTGCAGTTTAGAGTTATTTCCAAGTATAAAAAGGCTAAGGATGTTTGTTATGCCTTGCAAAATACTTTTGAAGGAACTGCTCAAGTGAAGGAATTGAAACTTTAGATAGTAGAAAACATGTTCAAAGGTCTAAAGATGACCAATAATGAGACCATTTGCCAATATTATAATCATTTCAAAGATATGGTTAACGAAGCCTATGCTATTTGTTTACGGTATGATGAATAGATATTTATGAGGAAGATGTTAAATCCGTGAATAAGAAGTTCAACATCAAAGTTTCCATTCTTGAGGAACTCGACAAAATGAAGAATTTGACCCTTGAAGGTTTGAATGATATTCTCATGACATGAGATATAAATCATATTGATAAGAAAACCTCTAAAGGTATAACTCTATCTACTGAGGATTGGAATTTTTTGAATCTGATGAATAACTGTCATTCGTGTTCAAGAAACTATCCAGAATGATCAGTGAAAAATAAGTTCAAAAATTTCATAAGTCTAAAAACAATTATTACACTGGTGGCAGAACAACCGGAGAACAATGAAGATTTTCTTATCAGAAAAATTAGGCTAAAACAAACCCAAAAGCTCTTTGAAAAGAACTACAAGTAGTAGTTTAATACGACTCTTATGCCAGATACTTCAACGAAACTGAAGTGCTTTTCATGTATTAGAATAGGTCATGTAAAGGTTAAATGTGCAATATTAAGAATGAAAGGAAAGCATACATTTCAGGCCACTTGGAGTGATGATGGAGATAGTCAAAATTCTAAATCTATAACCATGATGGAAGTGATGATGAAAGTGTATTTTCTTTTGTTGTTATTACCAAAGGAGAATCTATAAAATAAAAAGAAAATATATCTGAAGATGATTGTGATAGCAACGAAACCATTGAAATGGATGTCTATAAGCTGATCGAAAGTTATAAGAAAGTTATTTCTAAACAAAAGGTATGCGTTACAAAAAACGAGGAGCTGATCAACACAATTTATCGATTGGAAACTAGAGTAGAAAATGATGAAGAAGTAAATTAAAAAATGTTTGAAAGTTGTGAAAGTCTTCGAATGGAAATTAAACAAATGAAAATGAAGAATGTTGGTCTAAAGGAGGGGAATGAAAGGGTCAAGAAAGAGAAAAACAAGTTTGATAAAACTTTGTCAATTGGAAAACTGTTCGGAGATCCTAAAAAAATTGGTTATCAATAATCAATATTGCCGAAACTCATTATTTTTGTGAAAGAAGGTTTACTTACTGATGTGAACATTCTTGAGAAAGACCCAAAAGAAAAGGTGACTGGAGTTCCAAGGTAAAACAAAAATGAGAGGCATAACCAAAATCGCAAAAGGAATAGACGTATCAATCGGATGTTACATCACCAGAGTAACTCTAAATAATACTATCGATTTGGTAATGTGATTTTCATGTTTTTTCAAGCTGGAAAATGATTTGATGACGGGAAAGAAGGTCCACTAGCCCTCTGAAAAATTGAGACAAAAGATCAAGTTCAGAATTCAATGGAGGTCAAAGAATAATCAACCTCGGATGATATGCAATGTCATTCTATTAAGTCAAGAAGTAATTAGTTCGAATTGATGGTATTTTTATTGTGGATTCTCACTCCATATGACCAATCAAAAGCATTTCTTGAAAGATTATATAGCTGACAGATGTGAAGAAGTGATATTTGGAGACGAAGCCAAATAAAGAATTATAGGCTATGGTATCCTTGAAGTCAAAGGAATACCAAAGCTCTCAAATGTATACTTTGTGGAAGGTTTAAGTACTCATCTTATCAGCGTAAGTCAGATATGTGATGATAAACTGCAAGTGAAGTTAACTAAGGATGCTTGTGAGGTGTACAAAAATAAGAAAGAGTATGTTAAGGCTGGAAAAAGATCGAGGAACAATTGTTACCTTCTCGACAAGCCGATGAATGTTGCATTGATCTTTAAGGATGATGAAGCTCTATTGTGGCATACAAGATTTGGTTATGTCAACCAACAGAACCTCATTAAGCTGAGCATGCTGGAAATTATCAGAGGAATGCCTAACTTTTGAAAGTACTTAACTTTATTGGTGGTGATTGCGCTCGAGGAAAGCAGAAACAGGTTTCACACCTGCACTCGAAACATCATAGCAGCAACGGATTGCTGGAATTGTTGCACACGGATTTGATAGGTCCATTCGATACACCCAACCTTGGATGTAAAAAGTACTTTTATTTGCATTGATGACTTCTCAAGATACACATTTTATGGAATAAGATGATACATTTAGGATATTTTATAAGTTATGCAAAAGATTGATGAATGAGAAAAAATTGAAGGTGAATCGAATTTGTACCGATCATGGAAAGGAATTTGAGAATAAAAAATTTGATGGTTTCTGTGATGATCTTAGAGTGCTACATGAGTATCCAGCTCCGAAGACCTCACAACAAAATGGAGTCGTGGAACCAAAGAACCCAAGTTTTCAAAAAATAGCTAGATCGATGATGCAAGCTAAAGGAGTTGCAAAGTATTTGTTGGCTGAAGCAATCAATACTTCATTCTATGTGATTAACAAAATTATTTGAGACCCCATACCGAGATCATACTACATGAGATATAGAAAGAAAAGAAGCCAAATATGTCTTATTTTCACAGTTTTGGATGCCAATGTTATATGATAAAGGATATGAGCCATCTTCAGAAATTTGATTCAATGTCTAAGAAGGGATATTTATTGGTCTCAAAATAGCATAGATTATCGTATCTATAACAAGTGCACAAAAAAAGTTATGGAATCGATTAATGTTACCGTTGATGATTCTTATGTGGAAAGGAGATCCATCAACCAAAATGAGAAAGAAATATGGATTCCAATAATAAAATATAAGCATAGTAATAGGAATTTCAATTCACTTCAGTTACGTGCACTGTGCTAATTTTTTTCAAAAGCACAGAGTAAATATTCAAAGAGCATCAATCTTTAGGGTAGATAGCAATGTGCTTTTGAAACAATAGTTATGTGCTATCAATTTGTTTTTAAAATTGGTGCCCTAGAAAAGTATATTTGTTGATCTACAAAAGTATCCTAGTGCTCCACATAAATATATCTTACACTCTACACAAATATTCTATAGAGTATATATTGTACTCTATAAAACAATTCAAATGGTACTTTTTGAAGACTTGAACGATGCTATGAGAAAAAATCGGTATGGTTTTGATTTTTGATTTTTATTTTTAATTTAGCATTGTAATCGATGCCATTTCATTTACATCCAAATAAATAGTTATAAGTCTCCTCAATTAGACTTATTTTTTATTTTCTTGTGGTTATTTATATCCTTGATCTTGTATTGAATAAAAGAACTATCCATCAATAAACAAAATAAAGTAAAAAAGTCATTTGTATCCATTTTCAAGAATAAATATATAGGAGGTAATTCGGTTGATCAAGACTCTTTGAAGGGATTAAACAATGTTTTACATTGGGTTTGAACGAATATTATGAATTATCCATAGCTTTTACGAGAGATTAGGTGGTCCAATGATTTCTAGACTATCTTTTGAGAATAGGCCAAGCCAAGTCACGGGAGATTCTTTTGAATACTCTCAGGATCCAATGTTGGTGAGATATCCTTTCTACAATATATCACTTGACTTGAACACATACCTCCTAAAAAGAGATATTTGCGATTCGGCAAAAATTGTTCCAATAATTTGTATATATTTTTTGCTTTAGCTTTAACCGGTTGAAAGGGAAAAATAGTTCTCAAACAAAAACGGAATCCAAACCATTTTTGGATAGTTTAGGTTGCGTTTTTTTTTATAGGAATTTTATTATTTATAATTTTTTTTTAAGAAAATATTAAATCAAACTTAAATATATTTTATTTTTTATATTATACTAAATAATACAAAATAAAATAAAAATTTAGATCATATCCAATAATTATTTCATTTAATAATTTAGTATTCAAAATTTCAAACATAACTTCAAAATCTATGGACAAGCAAACTTTATTTCTATTAATGTTTTTTTTTTTTCAATATATCTCTATTGATTACCCTTTTCAAATTTAAATTAATAGTAATAGCTTTTGCATAAATATTAACAGTGTGGCAATATATATAAGCGATATCAATATCCACCATTAGAATATTTTTCATAGATCAATTTTCAAATTAATTCAACTTTACATTTTTTTTATTTTTTCATCGACATTAAGAAATAATAAAATTTGAATATAAAAATATGAGAGATAAAAAGTAATGTTTACTTTACATTTCTTTTATTTTTTCATCGACATTAAGAAATAATAAAATTTTAATATAAAAATATGAGAGATAAAAAGTAATGTTTGGTATTACGAAAATTTTATTAAAGAATAAATAAATAGGTGGTGAAATAAGTTGACAGAAATAAGGACAAATATGTTATTATTTATTAATGTAGATATATTTACTAAAAAAAATAATATATTTATAACGGAATTCCGTTCCTAAAGTTCACGTAGCTAACGTAATTCCATCTCTAATTTCGTCTCTAATATCGTTAGTAACAGAAAAAGTGAATTTAGGAACGAAAAAATCTCGTTACAAAATTGATAATTTCCTGTAATGATTAAAATTATGAGTTAATAAAAATATTACTATAGATGAAGTATGCATAAATTTAAAGGATAAAAAAGAATGGCATAATCATCTCGGACAAAAGAAATATAATTCTCAAATATATTATTAATATTTCTCTAACAAAATTTTTTTACATTATTTTCAATTAATATTACTCCCCCCGTCCCGTAACAAAGTATACATTTTTCCATTTTAGTCCGTCCTATAACAAAGTATCCATTTCCTTTTTTAGTAACGGTACTATTTACCTAACATTACAAATATCCTTACAACTTATAATATATTACACAAATGTCATTACCTTTATACCACACATACTAATAAGGTTATTTTAGTCATTTCCACTTTATTTCTACTATATCCCAATATAATACTAATATTTTTAAAACTACGTGCAAAAAGCAAATAAATATTTAGTTTCGGGACAAATACATAGTTGGCTCTTAGCACGAGCAATCTAAGCAATTGCTCAGGCCTCTACTTCAAGAGGCTCATAATTTTTTTAATTTTAGCTATTATTAGATATATTAAAATTTATTTTAAACTTTATCCCATAATTTTCTCAACAATTACCTAATCTAATTTTAATTCTAAAATTAAAAATTCTAATAATGTTTTTTCTATAATTCCATCTTTCTGGCATTTAGAATTCGTAAATATTTATAAAGTCCATTATTATTATTAGATATATTAAAATTTAATTTAAATTTTATCTTATAATTTTTTATTTTTTTTTTTACAATTATTCAATCTAATTCTAATTCTAATAAACAGTAACAATTTTTTTTTTTAATCTTATATTCCTGGCCTTTAGAACTTGTAATTAATATTATTGAGTTATTGGTTTTATAATAGTGAAAATATTGTAAAATTTTATAATAGTTAAGATATGTATCACAAACTAAGTCTGACAGTCATCGCCTACATGACACATATATTTCATTTATTGTATATGATTAATATAATTTTTATTTTTGTGAAATTTATTATTGTATTGTTCGTTGATAGTATTTTTAGAAAAAAAATATTTGTTCATAGAGCCTATCATTTAATTTTGAGCCCTCAGAAAGTCCGAGACGGTCCCGTAAAAATATATATTCATAAAAAATATATAATATATATTCTATTTATTAAAAAATATTATTATTATTATTATTATTATTATTATTATTTTATTTTATTTTTTTATTTAATAAAATATTATTTTTATATTAACAAGATCACTACGTAATATATAAAAAAAAAAAAAAAAAAAAAAAACTAGATGTAATAGTTTAGCAATTCTAAATTACATAGAATGGTATTTTATTTTATATTAATTAAATTTATATTTGTAAAATAATTAAAAGTTTCAAAGCATATGACATGGAGAATATAAATATATACACATATAAATATATGTATATTGGAGGAGCGGTAATGAAAAAGGAAGCCGCATGTCCATTTTGAGAAGGATGCTAATACCATAAGATTGTGTTTAATTAGTTCTGTTTTATTTATTTTTTAATCTGAATTTGAATATAATATTTTGTGATAAAAAAAAATAATATTACTATAATTTTAGAGAGAAATGAATAATAAAATAAAGTCTGGAAAAAAGGGCCCAACAATTTTACTAAGTCAAGTGTTTGATGCATATGACTTCTTGTGTCAGTAAATAATAATAAGAAAATATTATAATTTCATATATATGCACGTCTGCGTGCATTATTTAATTTAATTTAGTGACGAAGATTTCAAAAAGTGAAGGGCTTTACTTGTGTTGGCAATAATAGACTTCTCCACAGGCGCAGATAGAGGGTTTAGTTGAGGAAAAATTTAACTAACTGTATGACTAATGGAGTGCGTGTTTGGACAACTACTTCAATCTTTTTATGCTTATTTGAGTTGGACCTCAAATTTAATAAATATAATATTATATTGATTTCATATGATACTTCATTTTATAAAAATTTATGCTTATTTTTTTTTTAAATTGTTATAGAAGAAATATTTTTGTTTCATTATTTAGTGAAAATACATATTTCTTTTATATTTTTTTTACTATGAAAAGAAAAATTAATTATTTTTACTCACTTTTATTAAATTATATGCTAAATCATATGAGCATAACCGAAAGAGTATAAAGTAGAAATATGTTAGAAAAATATATAAATGAATTAATTAGGTTATAGAAAAATTTTAATAAATTGAATGTATAAATAGTTGTAGTATAATTGTAAGTAAGTGTAATATTGAAATATATAAATTAAAAAGTGTAAAATTATTAGTTATAAATAATATATATATATATATATAATATTTTTGAAAAATAGACATCAATTGGTTGACGGATAAAAATGTACTAAACAAACACATGTGTTTATTAATATTCATTTTGGACTACATTCCTTCAAAAAAAATAATAATAACATATTTTTGTACATTTATTCTCCATCTTCACACTTTACAAGAGTATATATTGAAGTTCCGTAACTATCTCAGTTCAAGACACATTATGCAAAATATTTATCCGGATTAGATTGTCATTATTATAGGGTTAGATTTGATTCAATCAATATATATAATAAACACAAATACTGCATATTTCTATATAATATACAAGTATGTGATGCATAAATATATTTATTATACTATGTTGTATAAACTGCTTATTGTATTAAAATTAATAATATATTGTGATATGTGAAATTATATGATATATTGTCATGATATGTGTCAGACAATATTGTATGTGTTACGTTGATTCGACCTAGACAGCATAGCAACCGACCCATTATACCTAAATTATATATATATATATATGTATGTATGTATGCATAAGTTATGGGGTGTGCTTGAGTCATGCATCTCCAATAATTAAAAGAAATAACAAGAGAAATAGAAAAGAGGGATTGAGAAGAAAGAATAAGCAAGTTTGATCCGTTATTAACATAAATAGTTTGTATTCGAATATGGGAGACGAAACTAGTTTACTTACTGTAAGAAAAACGTTAAGTAGGCCGGTACCTGTCTGCCGCAACAGGCGGTGAGAAGAAACGCAATACGACGGCCACCATAATGATCTGCAGCAATATCCGGCAATTCCTCTCCATTTTCTATTTTTATCAAGAAACAATCTGCCTACCTACATGCATAAGTAATTAATACCGGATAAACAATAAACTAATTAATTAATATGCATAAGTAGCAAACGAATAGCTAGCTAGCTTGCTTAAAATTAAAATGAAGGGCAGAAGCTTACCTAGATTATCAAAATGCAATTAAGGTTTCATCTATATATATATATATATATGTGTGTCACGTCAAATATAATTTTGGTAGGTTTTGATCATGGAGCAGCTAATTAATACTAGTGTATGTATATATACTAACAGCAAGAAGAATAAAGTAGCAGAATATGAATAATGATGTCTTAATTAGATCACCACACACAATTAATTAATTAATTAATTAATTGATGTATGTATGTATGTGTGCGTCTGGAGATCGTGGGAAAGGTAAGGTGAACAAATTAAATTCCGTCAAGACTAGAATTATGACTTGGTAATAAATTAGGTACGTACATTGACGTTATTAAAATGGCTGCTGTCGAATGTTGAAAAAACTATCAACACTTCCGCATTGGATTAAATTATTGTTTTAATCTATCGTATCCTATAATTATTAATTGAGAATATGCTACTTCAGAATTTTCTTATTACCTTTGCTTAATGAAAGTTTGCAACATGCTGAAAATATTTTACTGTATATTTGTTGAAAAATATATTAGGATTGATACGATTAATAAAAGGTAAAACAACACTGGCCTAATTTTCAATGTATTAGGTTTGACCGAAATTTACTTAGAGCGCACTAAAAAAATAGCATCCGCGAATTAACACGTTATAAAAAATAAAATTAAATTAAATAAAAGGTAAAACAGTACATTATATGGATATTACATTAGTCAATATCATTAATTTACTTAAGTTAAAGATTAGCACAATACTTAAATTGGTTTAAGGTGTATTGATGTGTTATTCGATACATAAAAGAAAATATGTGTTACGTTGAGAATTTAGGGATTTTGATTCATGATGTATTCGATTGATGTACGAAATATTAGCATTCAATTTTGTGTGGAAATGATTTAGGTGTTTGGGAAAAATACTTATGTTTCTACAATGGTAGAATTTGGCATAGGTGCATCATTTCGTGGAAATTGTTGTTGTTCCAGATCCTTGTAAATTTTGCAGAATTTTTATTTAATAGGTCTGACTTTTATTTTTTGTATACACTTTCGTATTGAATTGTATGGTCGACCTTGTTTGTATATGTTTGTATAAAATAGGTGGAAGTATTGCATGCCAATAGTAAAACAGTTTGAGAGCGGAAGTATTGAATTTGAGATATATATTTTAGTATATAAATGCGAAAAATATGTTGCAAATAGAGTTGTTGGTGTTATGATAAATCTAGGTCGACAAACTTGCTATTTACCCAATACATATAAATCTAAAGAAACATAAAGAATCTTTTATATATCAAAGGCAAAAGTGCTCGGACTCAGTTTACCCAAAGTATATCAACTGAAACAAATTATCACACACAACCTTGACCCAAAAACCACAACCGACATCCACGGAAATGCAACAAACAAGCAAATCGAACTCCAATCTAAGAAAACATCAACATTCTAAGCCTAATTTCATCGCGGACAAACAAATACACCACGAACAACAAAGAAGACAAGAATCTTTAAGGCAAACCAAAGAACAGCCTCGGAACAAGCTAAACATCAAAAGCATAAGTCGAATCTACAGCTTCGTCGTACAAGATTTCTGGAAAACTCAAGGGAAAATCCATTGGAAAACGTCGGGCAAAGAGGGTTTTCTACAGAGAGAAGAATCGCGATCTGTGAGAGTGAATGAGTGAACCAATCTGCAACGGTTCAGAAAGAGAACCACATATAAGATCAGGTGAGGCATAGATCCAACGGCTTAAAGAGAAACCCTCAATCCAACGGCCAGCAGTGAGTCCCACATTAGACCGGGTCGGGTCGTGGTTCCAGGATCCGGATTTCGGGTGGCAGGTCATGTGTTTTAATGGGTTTCACCACAGTCCGAGCAACCAATGCTTTCAGTCTTTTACTTCATTAAAAAAAAAAAAAAATTAGCCAAATGATGAATTACTCTCCTCCACAAAGGAAATTGAAATCAAGTTAGGTTTAAAAATAATATAAGAACCTACTATGATACATGATAAAGCCTAAAGCTACATAGAAGTTAACACTGGCTAATCAAATGTGTCAAAACATACAATTTTCATACAAGATAGAAACATATTAGTTTTCCAAAACATTCCAAAATATTGTATCTTCACCAACAAGATTATGTTGAAATTGAGCTATTAACAAAGCTACTAAACATTGTAATTGTATCTTACAATAAAAATATGTACCACACAATATACAAACAGAAAAAACAGTAAGCTTTCTAGTACACATATCATTGACAATCAATGATAACAAACTACAATCAAAACAAGCATAAGAACTAAATTCAAATTTGCATTCTTAACCAATGAGTTCATATCTTTTTTTAGAGCTTCCAAACATTGATACTTATATAAATAATTACTTGTCTCCCTAACAATCATAGGTTTATTCACATATAATTCATCAAACATACAACAAACTAAAGAAGATAAATTCAAATTACCAAACTCAAATTTCAGTTTCACTATTTTTATCAAACTCTACCTCATTTTGAATATAATTGTCAAAATCAGAGATAACAATATTTTCGTTTAAAAAACCAGTGTGTTACTCAACAATAGTTTTCGCACTCAAAACAGAATCAAAAGTAATATCAACATCAACTAAAATGTCACAATGCACGTATTCTGATTCATACCAAGTATTATCTACACGTATATCACAAAACTGCACATATTTATAATCAGCAGCAACCTTTTGCTTTTCAAAAGATTGGCAATGAAAAACAATGTTATCATTTCAACCTCATAAACAGATTCAACTTCAATTTGCACACTATCAACAAATTCAACACAAGTTTCATATTCAAGATTAACAATTATAGGTTCATCATCACAAGACCACACACTTTCACTTCCAGCAACGGATTACACATTCACCACATATTCATAATCATTATCAGCACTATTTAAATCATCAAAATGCACATTTTCTTATTCACATTCAATATTAATTGTATTTACATCAAAATATTGCACCTTTTTAGGTTCAGGATTAAATCCACGAATAACAGCAGACTTAGTACAAAATACAGAATCAGTTTTGTCCTCAAAATTAGCCTTTTTTTTTAAAAAAAAAAATAGTATAAATTTCAGAAATAGAACAAACATGAGAATTTGTTTCAGAGTTTCACTAAATATCAGCAATTTCAATATTATCAAATTGCACACGTTTAGATTCACAAATAATCTGCTACTTGGAATAACAAAAAATAGAATTAAAATGTTCATTTTCTTCCTCTTCTATATAAACTTTATCACGCTCCACCTTATTTCAAGTATTATAAAAAACTATGTTTGTTTCACTAATAACAGAAACAGAAAAATCAGATTTTTTAAAATTCAAACATGGCATACAATTTTCATTAAATGTCACATTATTAGTAATAATAGTTATAAATCTAGGTTTAGAACAAAGTCACAATTTATACCCCATAACACCATAACCTAAGAAAACATAATTTTCATTTTTCAAATCAAATACTTCAGTGCAATAGTAGAACACCCAAATACACGAACATTAGAAATGTCGACTCTTTTACCCAACCATTTACTTTCAGGACATAAACCTTAAGGGGGATAGAGGGTGATCTATTTATCAAATAAGATATTGTAACTACAGCTTTACCACAAAACAGTTTGGATAAACCGGATGAAGTCAAAAGACTTCTAACCCTTTTAAAAAAGGTCTGGCTCATCCTCTCGGCCACCCCCACTAAATTGGGGTGCCATGGGGACAGATTTAATCATTCTAATACTATTTTTCACAAAAGATTTTATCAAACCAGGTGTTACAAAAATTTAAACCATTATCAGTTTAAAGACATTTAATTTTTTTCCCGTTTTATTTTTGTGATACCCCCGGAGTTGAGCCATTGCTTGGCCAACTCTTGTATGTTGATGAACCGGTATTTAGCCATCCAAAGTTGATTAAAGGTTAAATAGATTGAATAGACTACTCATGTAAAAAATGTGCACATTCCTTTTTGGAAGCTCTACTGAAAGAACTCTAGAGTTAAGCATGCTTGCTCTAGAATAATTTGAAGATGGGTGATCCTCTTGGAAGTCTTTCAAGGTGTGCGTGAACGAGGACAGAAGCGTGTTGAAAGGACTCGTGTTGACCTGTGGGACCAGTCTACAATCTCGACATGTTCGACTTTGCGTGGCTTTCCGACCGGGGTGTCACAGTTGGTATCAGAGCCGGCTTGTGACAGCTCACAGTCGTTGACCCGACTGGTGACGGGCGTGGACGTTGCATTCTAAAGTGAGGAAGGATGTGATACCCCCGGTTGAGCCGTTGTTTGGCCAACTCCTATATATGGATGAGCCGGTATTTTGCCATCCAAAGTTGATTATATTTTAAATGGATTGAATAGACTACTCATGTCAACAATGTACATATTTCTTATCGGAAGCCCTACTGAAAGAACTCTAAAGTTAAGCGGGCTTGATCTAGAGTAATTTGAGGATAGGTGACCCCCTGAGAAGTCTCTCAGGGGGTGCGTGAGTGAGGACAGAAACGTACTGAAAGGACTCGTATTGACCTGCGAGACAAGTCTACAATCTCGACATGCTTGGATTTGCGTGGCTTGTAGGCCGGGGTGTCACAATTTTCAACTTTAATTTTCCAATTTTTAAAACTCCCAAAAACTTCAGATCTATTATTCATGAAGAAAAAGTTTTTCTTGAAAAATCATTAAAAATAATTAAAAAATATTTAGAACCACCAAAAGTAGACTCATAAGAGAGCCCCCACAAATCAGAATGTATGTATGCTAAGACATATTTACAGTATTCACGTTTTTCAATATTGGGTAAGGGAAAATTGACTTTAGT